GTCGGAAGGAGCCATGAGAGCCACAGGGTAGGAGATTCTTGCTCTGTCTCCACAGAACCCAGGGCTGCAAGGAGCTAAGGCCCAGGGAAGCAGGCCAGCTCTTCACACACCTGCCTGAACGGAGCTCTGCAGCCAGTGGAGAAGACCCCAGAAGAATACACACCATCAACATGGTGGTCCCGAGGGGAAATCACAGGGGAGGTTTTCTGCATTTTCCAACTTTCCTACAATAAGCTGGGGTTACTTTCATCATCTTTACCTTATATAGGTGAAAGTAATTTTAAGCACACAATTGATATGAGAATATATTCTCTTAATAAAAAAATGTCAAAGTCACATATAAGGCTAAAGCCTCTTTTGACCCCACCTGCAACCCTGCCCTTCCCCTGAGCTAATAACTATGGCTAACAGCATGGCCAAGAGTTTGACAAGCATCCGTCAAATACCTTTATGAACATATGTAGCCATAGAAAATATATAGGAAACGGTGTCACACTGTTCATAAAAGTATTACTTTCATAGCCAGAGACTCGTTCAACCCACATTTGTTTAGTGCCTATTTTAAAGGAGTCACTGTTCCAATCCCAGGGAATTCAGCAATAAAGAAAAAGTCTCTGCCTCCAAGGAACTTACACAACCTAATGGAGTCGGAAAAGACAGTCAATAAAAAATAACTCCCAAGTAAATATATATGTTAGGTGGTGATGAGTGCTGTGGGGGAAAATAAACCAAGGATAAGAAGGTCTGGGTGGCGGGGAGAAAGAAACAAGTTTTAATTGGGTGCTGGGAAGACCCCCCAGAAGATGCAGTGAGGCGAGAACTGGGCCTGCACGGTCTTCTTGTCAAGCAGAGCCACACAGGGTCTACCTCGGGTAGACCAGGACAGTAATGCGAGCCTCTCTCTCTGCCCCACTTAAGGCTGTCATGGGGCCAAATGCTGTCCCCCACTGGTCCCAGCTCTACCAGGGCTGTCCCTGACAGAGGATCCCCAGAATGATTGACCCCCCAGAGAGATCAAGTTTCTGTTACGAAGGCTGAGTGGTCGAGTTACTCAAGCAAACCATAAATGAGGAACTCAACCCAAAAGCAAAGCCCAGATCAGGCAACAATNCCTCGGGTAGACCAGGACAGTAATGCGAGCCTCTCTCTCTGCCCCACTTAAGGCTGTCATGAGGCCAAATGCTGTCCCCCACTGGTCCCAGCTCTACCAGGGCTGTCCCTGACAGAGGATCCCCAGAATGATTGACCCCCCAGATAGATCAAGTTTCTTTTAAGAAGGCTGAGTGGTCGAGTTACTCAAGCAAACCATAAACCTCGGGTAGACCAGGACAGTAATGCGAGCCTCTCTCTCTGCCCCACTTAAGGCTGTCATGGGGCCAAATGCTGTCCCCCACTGGTCCCAGCTCTACCAGGGCTGTCCCTGACAGAGGATCCCCAGAATGATTGACCCCCCAGAGAGATCAAGTTTCTGTTACGAAGGCTGAGTGGTCGAGTTACTCAAGCAAACCATACATGAGGAACTCAACCCAAAAGCAAAGCCCAGATCAGGCAACAATGTCAAAGTCATGGAGCAAAGGTCCACCAGCCCTGTTGATCACTCAGGGAGGCCAGCACTGAGGCTGGCAGCAAAGCCAAAGTCTCTAGAGCCTCCCATTACAGCAGGAGCTGGCGCTTAGTGTGCACCAGTTACACACTGAGCATTTTACAGAACTTATGATACTGAATCCCATAAATGCCAAAGCCAAAGTCTCTAGAGCCTCCCATTACAGCAGGAGCTGGCGCTTAGTGTGCACCAGTTGCACACTGAGCATTTTACAGAACTTATGATACTGAATCCCATAAATGTTTCGAGGCACAGATACTGACCCCATTTTACAGATGAAGAAAGCTGACATCATGTATTAGTTTCCTATTGCTGCTATCACAAATTACCACAAACTTAGTAGCTTAAAACAACACAAATTTATTCTCTTACAGCTCTAGAGGCCAGAAATCTGAAACGGGTTTCAGCCGGCCGAAATTGAGGTGCCAGCCAAGAAAGCTGACATCATGTATTAGTTTCCTATTGCTGCTATCACAAATTACCACAAACTTAGTGGCTTAAAACAACACAAATTTATTCTCTTACAGATCTAGAGGCCAGAAATCTGAAACGGGTTTCAGCCGGCCGAAATTGAGGTGCCAGCCAGGCCGCGCTCCCTCCAGAAGCTCTGGAGCAGAACTCCTGCTTCTCCAGCTTCTGGAGCAGCCGTCTTTCCTGTGTCATGGCCCCACATGACATTGCCTTCTCTCTTCCTGCTTCCATTGCCACATTACCTTCTTCCTCTTCTGTGGGAGGAAATCCAAATCTCCTTCTACCTTCCTCTTGTAAGGACACCCGTGGGTACATTTAGGACCTTCCCTGATAATCCACATCATCTCCCCATCTCAAAATCCTTAACTTAATCACACCTGCGGCATCGAGGCTCCAGCCACCTCACCCCCAGCCATGGAGCACACATCCCCCTCTCTCGGGGTTTTCTTCTCTGAAGTCCTGAGAGCTTCAAACAGGAGGGAAAGCTATAAACTGGAGGAGCATGGACTCATAGCACTGCTGATGTGGAGACCATAGTATTGTGCCAGATATTCCATGCACGGCCAAGGTCTTCAAGATGCACCTTCAAAGGGAAAGAGCCTCTACCTGGGTCAGCAGCCGGGTCCCTGTAGCTGGGCTCTTCCACCTTGGACAAGCCACAAGTCTGCCTCCTGCACCCCAGCGCATCTGGGCACCAAGGTGGGATCATCTTGCTCCTTTTTCTATCCTCTGCACCTCCATGAACAATCTACACACCAGCCCCACCAGGGAGGTGCTACTTGCCCATTTTACAGACAAGGAAACCAAGGCTCAGGGAGGTTAAAACCTTGGGTCACAGTAGAGTAGGTGGTGAGGCTGGGACAGGACTTCAAGTCATTTGGACTTGCCTAGGCCACAAAAGCCTCATGGCCTGGCTGGCATCTCAGCAGGAGGTTCTCAGGTGGAACAGCGACTGGATCTCAAGTCTTAGGAAGGGTTCCCTCCGCAGGTTCAGTGGGCAGAGTGGAGAGAAGGAGGGGAGGCCCTGCTTTCTCAGGCCTGCCTGTGCAGAGAGGGAGAGGGCTCTGCTCCCCTAAATTGCCCTAAAGCCAATGACTGGTGTCCTTTGAAAGGAGAGGGAGATCTGACACACAGAGATAGAAAGGGGAGGCCATGGAAGGACAGGGGCAGCTCTACCACCAGTCAACTGAAGAAGCCACTTGGGAGAGTGATGCCCGTCTTTTGAGGTATCCACAGAGTCCCCCAACAGAGAAATTTACATATACCATTTAAGTAAGAGAATTGTAAACACATTCTCCAAATTTGGTTAAAATCCAGCTAGACATTTTTACATGATGAAGTAGCTGAGAAAAACTTAATTTATATGGGATGATGTTGATAAAAATATCAGCTACCAACTTTGAATGTCTGCTGGGTGTCAAGAACAACACTCTAATCTCATATTTACCCTGTAAGGCAGAGGTTAGTGCCTGTTTAACAGAAGGCTATGCAAGCAGGAAATGGCAAACACAGGATTCAGACCCAGAGCCTGTGTGGTTCCAAAGCCCATGTTTTCTGGTTTGGCTGACTCCCAATTGATCACATTTTTGGGGACTGGCTTGTCAAACGAGCCCTGGATGGAGCAGACCAGCAGTGTTAGATGGATTTGAGAGGGCGGGGACGGCCAGGAACAACCTGCGCTCTCATGAGACATCAAGGACTGCATGTGAGTCTCCTGGTTCTCCCCAAGGCCCAGTCATATATAGCAGGCACCCTGTATTGAGCCAAGGTCCACTCATCCAGCAGGTACTTATCTAGAAGAGCTGTGCCCAGCTCTGTGCTAGGCTGTGTTCTGAATGGCGGAGACTCAGAGGCCACGGGGTGGGGAAGCCCAGTGGGGCAGGCTAACTGGCCAGCCCTTGTGGGAGCAGGGAGAGCTCAATGGGCATCTGCAGCTACTGCAGAGGTGGGGAAGGCTACCGAGGGCCTGGCTTGGCTCTGCAGAGCCCTGTGAAGTGCCTGGCATGGGCTTTACCTCCGGGTAAGATGCTCAGTCCACTTTGGACATGAACTTGCACAGAGCCCTCTTTATTAGGTGTGCAGGATGGCAAGAGGCAGGCAGTGATGCCGCCAGGCTACCCAGCCATCCCATTGTCCCTGGGCTTCTCCCAGCACCCACACCATGCCCTTGCTCCCCTTGCCTTCTTTGTTTTCCTTGAGGCTTGCCCCCACCCTCAGGCCTCTGCACTGGCCCTGCCCTCTGCCATGAGCACTCTGACCCCAGTTCTGTATGTCCAGCTCTTTGCATCAGTTGGGTCTCAATTTAGCTGCATCCCTACAGAGAAGTCGTCCCTGATCCTCCGACAGAGAAGCCCTGGTCACTGCCTCTGTCATCTTCTTTTGTTACTGTCTCCCGAGCACCTACCACTGCATACAAAGGCCTTGTGCATTTTCTGTGTTCCCTGATTACTATCTATCACCCTCCTAAAAACATCTGTCCCCTTTCCTGCCTCCCTCACTGCTGGGTCCTCAGAGACTAGGTCAGCTTCTGGCACCTTGCAGACAGGTACTGGATGGGTGGGTGAGTTCCTGACCTGCCTCCCCAAGAGCCTCTGGACTGATCCTCCCCCTCTGACCTTGTCCCCCATCCACATGCCATAGTGAGGCTTCTTGCCTAGCCCTGCCAGCCTCCCTTCTCTCAGGCTCTCAAACAGGTGCTTGGCATTGTGGCACTTCCTGACAAACTAGACTCTGGATCCTCAATCCTCTTGGACCCAAGAGGCTCCGGGTTCACCTCCTCATGAGGACAGGCAGCAAAGATCTGGACCCTCCTTGGAGCAAACATACTCTCCTGGGGGCTAGGACTGGTTGCTGCCTCTGCTAGGCTGGTAGGCCCAAGGCCCTGCCTCCTTGTCCAAGCAATAAATGTGGGGTTAGACCAGTCCTGTGGCTGTTGGAAGCCTGCCACAGAATCCCTTGATGAGCTGAGCATGTTTTTCATGAATTCCCAGCCCTACTGCAGGCTTCTCTGACCAGAGTCTCTGGGGAAGGTGAGACCTGGCACTCCTCGGGTGAATCTGATACCCACTGAAGTCTAAGGACCACCAACCGTCAGGACCACCAACTGTCAGGACCACCTCTGACATGAGATAAACTGGCCCTGTGCTGTGCACATAGTAGGTGACCAGTAAGTGACAAGCTCCTGCACGCCTGATGACAATGACTATGGGAGTTCAGCCTTTGCAAACCCAAGGCCCCAGGCCACTACCTTGCAAATGCTGTTCCAGTTTTCTAAAGTCCCCACATCTTGTGAAAATGGCCACAGAGCACTCACCTGGTGAGGGCCTCAGAGCCTCTCTTTCTCTGCAAGTGCCCCCTGAGAGCTGGACCCCAGCCCCCTAGCTTTCACCAGCTCTTGTGCCCAGGAAAGGGACCAGGGAGGCTGGGCAGGCAGAGCTCACCAGGACGGCCCCAGCCTTGACATCTGCAGGCACCCACAGCCTTCCCCACAGGCTAGGCCCCCTGTGTCCCAACTCCGTGTTCCTCCAGGTTCCTCTGTCCTGAACTCCCAGGCAGCCCAAGGAGAACACACAGTCTTGGGGCTTCAACTCCAACAGCAGAGGATCTCAGCTGGCCGAGGGCAAGGAGGCCTAGAGAATGATTTCCACCAGATGAGGCCACTCCAGAGCCCAGGGCCACCCACTATGGCTGCAAGTATTGCAGAGGCTGTTCCCTAGGGGGCCAGGCCAGCAGCACTGTCATGCCAATTTTCTCTGAAAAAGTGGCTCTGGGACCACCTTCCTTCACTCAGGAAACATCTAACATTTGTTCCAGTGGTTCCAAATGTCGAGAAGGCACTACTAGTGAGGCAGGTCGGCCCAGGAGCAGAGTTCACCCTGGGCCTGTGAGCCCCAGCACTGCCATACATACCCCAGCTCTGACATCTGGGGCAGGTTCCTGAACTCTGTGCCTCACTCTCCTTCCATATAAAATGGGAAGAGGATGCTGTCCCCAGGAGGGGAGGACTGCCCTGCTTCACTCACCACCTTGTGTGCCCAGCTCCCCACTGGGCCTGCCTGCTGCTGCTGCCTTGGATTGAGACCTCCCATGGGGACTACCTAAAAGGTTTCTTCAAATATTTCAGAAAAGTAGGCTCAACCCTCATCAAGAAGAGAGGACCGCGGCCTGTTGGGGGAGGGGCGTTATCACTCAGGGAGGAAGGTGGGGAGAAAGGAAACTGCAGCAGGGTCTGAGAAGGGACTGAGAGGCTCCTCCTTGTGCACAACCCAGGGAGAGCTTTGACATCGGGTCTGGAAGTTGGAGCTGGGGAGGCACCGTTTATGACCACCATTTATGGTTCCTAGGGTGTGGCCCTGAGTCCTGCTCACAACCGGGACAGGTGGCAGGGTTGGGGTTGTATAAAAGGAAGTTCCTTTGCAGTATTTCACACCTCAGTTTTTAACTGATTGTGTGACCTGAGACAAGCCCCTTCCCCTTTCTGGGGAACATCCCCAGGACAAGGGGGTTGGATGATCCCGGTGCCAGGATGGCCCCACCAGCTCTATTCCTCACACCCCATGTGCTACATCAAGTTATATTGGGTTCCCGTTTCTAACCTAGGTCCATAGTCCAACTGACTGTCAAGTCCTCTGAGGACTGAGTGCTGACATACCTTTACTGGATTCTGATCCACAGCTGCTATCAGAAACCTGAAGTATCAGCAAAATTGGCATGCTGGCCTTTTCCAAGCATGGGACCCACCCCGTGTCCACACCTCAGTGCCTTTGCTCATGCTGTTCCCTGTGCCTAATACACATTTTCTAATCACCTGAAACCCAACCTTAAATGGTGGGCTCAGATGGCACCTCACACTTGAAGTCTTTCCTGATTCCTCAGCTTCACAAGGACTAGGAGGACACTCGCCAGTATCCTGACCCCTTCCCCATCAACTCATGAGAACTTGCAGACAGGGATAGGACATTCATAAAAACAAAATCATTGCCAAGTAATGAGGGTAGAGCCATTCCAAACCAGGCCTCTGGCACCCCACCCCTGGGATGATGGCAGAGAGCCTGTCCTGGGCTGGAGACTCTGTGGGATCAGAAACAGCAGGCACAGCCCCAGAGGCAGACCCACTCCAGGCCTCTTTCCAAGAGGTAATGGGAAACATGGCTACTGTACCTTGACTGTGTCCAAAGGGTAGCCAACAACGACACCAGCTGCACCTGTGGATCAAAGAAAAACACCTGGTCACTCAGCCCCTGAACTCTTGGTTTGTACCATCTGGCTCGTGGGACAAGACAGAGGGCTCAGGTACATGTATTCACTTACTCAGTCAATGGTCAGTTGCTGGAGGGGGCCTCCAATGTGCTAGGCACTGGCCCAGGCACAAAGGAAAGCAGAGAAAATGGAGTAAAAGCAGGGCCCTGCCTCAAGAAGCAAGCACCCTAAACAAGGGAGGTGAAGGTTCTGGGACAACTGGATATTCACATGCAAAAGAATGGAGTTAGACCCCTACCTCACACCATATACAAAAATTAACTCAAAATAGATCATGGACCTAAATGGAAGAGATAAAACTGTAAAACTTTTAGACTAAAACATAGGGGTAAATCTTCATGATCTGGGATTTGCATGAACACTTAGATATAACACTAAAAGCATAAGCAACAAAAAAGAACATAGATAAACCAGACTTATAAAAATTAGAGACTTTTGTGCATCAACGGACACTATCAAGAAAGTGAAGACAATCCACAGAATGGGAAAAAATATTTGCAAATCAGATATTTGGTAAGGATCTAGTATCCAGAATAAAGAACTCTTTCAATTCAAACAAAATTTAAATATGAGCAATTATTGAATAGACATTTCTCCAGAGAAGATATGCAAATGTCCAATAAGCACATGAACATGCTCAGCATCATTAGTCTTAGGGAAATGCACACAAAATTCACAATGAGATTCCCCTTCACACCCACTAGGATGGCTACAGTTTAAAAAATGCAAAATAACAAGTGTTGACAAGGATGTAGAAAAATCTGAACTCTTGCACATTGCTGGTGGGAATGTATAATGGTGCAGCCACTGTGGCAAACAGTTTGGTGTTTCCTCAAAAACTTAAACATAGAATTACTACATGACCTGGCAATTCTACTCCTAGGTATAAATGCAAGAATTGGAAACAGGTACTCGAGTATATGCATACACATGTTCATGGCAGCATTACTCACAAGTCAAAAGGTGGAAACAACCCAAATGTTCATCAACTGATGTATGGATAAGTAAAATGTGTCATATACATAGAATGAACTATTATTTAGCCATAAAAAGGAATGAAGTACCAGTACATGCTATAATATAGTTGAAACTCAAAAACATTATGCTAAATGAAAGAGACCAGACACAAAAGGCAACATATTGTATAATTCCACTTATACAAATAACCCAGAAGAGGTAAACCCATCAAGACAGAAAGCAGATTAGTGGTTACCAGGTCCAAGAGGAGGAAGAAATGAGAGTGACTATTTAAAGAGTACAGGATCATCTTTGATCACAAGGAAAATGTTTTGGAACTAGGATTAGTGGTTACCAGGTCCAAGAGGAGGAAGAAATGAGAGTGACTATTTAAAGAGTACAGGGTCATCTTTGATCACAAGGAAAATGGAGGTGATGGTTGCACAGCATTATGAATGTAATAAATGCCACTGAATTGTTCACTTTAAAATGATTAATTTTATACTATGTGAATTTTGACTCAAAAAGTGGAGGGGGACGTGAAGAGAAAACCCAGAAACATTTCAGTTGCCTGCAGGTTACTTCTCTATGCCTTGCTGTTAGTATGTGTAGGGTGGGAATAATAACATCACCTACCTTGTGGCTCCATTGTGAGAATGAAATGAAATCATGGATGTAAAGCACTAGCAGAAAGCCTGACACTTACAGGATGCTCAAAAATGGACACCATCACTACTGAATTTTTTTTTTAAAGAATATCCCTTTGGAAAGGTGATGAATATGCTGGATCTTTTCACAGAAAAATGCTTATCTACACACAAACTCACAAGGCCTGGAGGGAAGCAAGGCTGCCCTTGTTATAGATGCCAGTAACTGAGATTGAACCAGGAGCTCTTCCTCAAAGGCAAATTCCCCAGCATGTGGATGGAGAAGGAAATGTCTCCCCGAGCAGGGGTGATTTACCTAGGTAAGGTAGGTAAGGGGTCCTGGAATATTAGATATTTAAAGGGACAGAAAAACCAGCTAATCCCCAACAACTGTTCCCCTGGTCCAGAACCTCATGTCTCCTCTCACCCCCTCCTTCCTGTTGAAATGGGCAGAGGCAGAGAGGTGATGGGCAGCAGAAGCTGGAGCATTCTGCAGGCCAAAGTCCCACTCTATGGGAGCCCTTCCCAGCAGGGGAGGAAGGAGCTCTGGTCTTCGGGCTCCACCGCTTCCCCAGCAGCGAGTGCAGGCAGCCCCCAGCCCAGAGCAGCAGCCTCAGATCCAGCCATGGGCCAGCATCTCCCTTCTCACTCATGAGCCCTTCCATAAATGGGATTATCAGGTCAGTGGTTTCCAGAACTTGGGACCTTACAGATCAGTGGAATTCCAAACAAAATGTGGAGAATGTAATGGTGAAATTTTGTCTTGCAAGGTTATTAAGAAAGAAAACAGCTACAGACAAGTATGGAGTTTAAGAGGCAGACTCTGGTGTCAGATTGCCTGGGTTGGGATCCCAGTGCCCATGCTAGATGTATGACCTTAGGCAAGTCACTGACTTTCTCTATACCTCGATTTCCTCATCTGTGAAATGGGAGTGTAACAGTACCTACCTCATTGGGGTGTCCTTATAACTAAATAAATATACATGAACAGACACAAGAGACCACATATTGCAGGATTCAATTGATACAAAATATCCAGGAAAGGCAGATTTATAGAAAATAAATAGATTAGAGGTTGTCTTGAGGGA